AATCACATTGTTCTCATTTAGTTGCCCTACAATTCTGAAAGGAAATGATCTAATGAGCAGCATGATTCACAGTAACTTTCTGAAGAGCTGAAGTAGAGGTACTACTTAAATGAGAAAGGAACACTATCATGATGGTTCCAAGGAAGCTGAAAAGAAAACACGCAGAAAACGTACAGGATATGCCTGCTGAAGCAAGCCCTGCATCCTTTAACCATGCTCAAACCCTTACTTGATCTGAGTTTGGGGACATATATGTAACACACTACAAAACTGTAACAAAAACACTAAATATCTCATGCACTTGATTATATATAGGGCCCTTCAATCACTGCTTGTTCACCCCTGGTGCCCTGTTGCTGACAGAGCAGAGATTCATTACTGCTCTCCAGCATCTTGTGCACGTATTGTACCAGGTATCTCTAATGTACAAAAAGACTAAAATGAAAAACTCAAAATAAGATCTGCATTGAATAATTTTTCTTTTATGCTTCAATACTGTAGATTTATAACTAGGACTAGGGCATGCTAAATTAGTTACTGTTCAATGGAGAAAAAAATCACAGAATTTATATTCAATATCCAAAGAATATATTGCACAATTCCCCACTGTGGGCCCTTAAACAGTCCTGGTTCACTCTCCCAAGTGCAGGAGAGTAAAGGTGCACAACCATGCCTCACTAATTTTTATTTTATCCAACCACTGAAATCTTGGTAAATCATGATCAACAAAGAACCCCAAACTTAAACTGGCATAATGGCAATGCATATCATCCCAGCAGTCACTGAGCTACAAAAACCATCAAAAGATAGTTAAATATTTGAGGTTACAAGCTCAAAGAAAGTTTTCATGATTTAGTTCATGTAAAATGAAAGCAACAATGACCCCTCTAAATCTTCCACATCCTGAGGCAACCCCTCTCATTCTACTTCAAAGATGGTGTCCACAAAACTGTTTAATGTACACAAAGGCCAGTCTCCTAACTTCTAATTTTACCTTAAAAATCATTACAAGATTGAGTTAGTGATAACAGAATTTATATTTATCTATTACTGAGTTCTCTGTCTTAAAACCTGTTACTTTTAGTCAACCCAAAGATTTGTGAAGCAAGCACACAAGTCTTCCTTTAGGCTTACTCTTAAGAATAATCTGATATTCAGAGATCTCCTATGTTGTTAAGTCCTACTATTTTGTAGACAGGCCACACTGACTCCATTTTGTCCTGGACACATCCAGTTGACAGTGTTTTGGTAGAAAGTGCAGGCCTTGAAACTTTCTCCTTCATGAGGTAAAATATGAGGTCCCATAAGGACAAGAAGCAAGCAAGTCATATAATCTAAGCATGTGCAATACAAGTTTCTGTGTTCTTTTCCTCAATAAAAACTGTTTTCTTATGCTGGCTGGGTGGCAGCCACTTTGCTGCCCCTTAGTGTGTGTGCCCCTTTATTTTCCCCTTGTTTGCAGAGCCCCTACATCTGGCTCCTGAACAGGGGACTTGACAGTGGGTATGTCTGCTGTGGAGGATGACTTGCCTTCCCTGTGTTCCTGGGGTGGGACACGGCCCCCAAAGTGTCAACTTCATTTTTTTTTTTTTTGGAAAATCCCTGGGTAAGTCATGGGGAATTCCTTGTCTAAAGTGCAACAGAAATGTAAGGTAGAACTGCTTTTTCTCCTTAAGAAGGCAGGCCATATGGGGGAGTGTAATTTAGTACAACTTTTGTGAGAAATTCACAATTATTGTCCTTGCTATCCTAAGGGAAGTACACTTATTATGGAGGATTGGGAAAAGATAGCAAACTGCTACATGCAGGGCCTCAAGCTCCCATCTCTGTCCTGCACGCCTGGCAGCTCTGCCTGGATGCTGCTGCCACCTTTGGCAAGCAAACAAACAAATTGCCACATGGCTGACTTCCAAGTCCTCCCAGGTGCGCCCCGCTTCTGCTGTCTCTACTTTAATTGGGCAAGGCTCTACTTTCCTGTGACCACTCAACAATTGGCTCCTCTGTTTGATGCTTTATGGGGTCACACAGTTCCTGCTGAGGTGAGCTCTGATTCTCTCCTCTACAGCAGACCCTTCAGAGCATGGCTCACACACTCACCACAGTTATGAGGAATTGAGCCCCGAAGGCCTGCCTTCTCTCCTTACTTTTCATTTAGCACCCTCGCCACAAGGGCTCACATTGCCATTCAGAACAGCAAGGTATTTATTGTTGAATGGCTACATTTACCCCACTTCCCTAGTGGTACTTATTTCCCATTATCAATGTTATTTCCTATCTTATCTCTGGAGGACATACTCGAGTACTTATACTCCTGGGGACTGACGTGCTGTCACTGTTTTACCACTTACCAAAGCTGACTTCTCCTCTGCTTTCCCCTACTGTTTCTCTTCAAGTTGCTTTGGCTGTGTTGGTTCCATTTCTTTCAACACACCCCCAGACCCAGCTTGGCAGGGGCCAGCACCTCTGCTGACCTGGGAAGGAAGGGATGCTTCAGTGCTATCCCCAACAGACCCTGTGTGGACTCCTGCTCACTGTGTTTGAAATGAATTGACACCATGGGCTGCACAACCCAATTCCAGTTTCACCTCTCCCTAAATCAAGCCCAGCCTCCTTGAAAGCAACCCAGGACCATGACTGCTGGCCAGTGACCTGGTGTGACATGAAGATGCTGACCCAGTCTGCACAAAACTAGCTCCATTCATCTGAAGAGAAACCAAGTGCCGAAAAGCTTCTTGTGGTGGAATTTACCAAACTGACAATGAACTCTTTAGTACCTGTTTGTATTTGTAGCCCACCATCGGGACCTTAGCATTGCATGGCCTCCAGGAAAGATTGGAATGCAACATTTGGGTTCAACTGGCAAAAACAGATAACATCTCTCATTTCTATCTGTCAGAAAAGAAATTACACTATTTTCCCCACTATTCCAAACAAAATTGCAACTTATGCTGGCTATCTAAATTAGGGCACTCTCATCCTTAAAATCCCTGATAATGCTGTTAAAATGTTCACTCCATATTTGGCAACTTCAAATGCCACATGTGCTCATATTGGAAATTGTACCTCTCAATGCCTGTAACTTCCTAATAGTATTTGGCATTGTTCTAGTTATGAGCCAATACTAAATACTGTCCTTATCTCTTTAGTCCCTTTGGGATGCCTTGTACAATGCATCCCATTCCTATGCAAAATGTTCATAACTAAAATACTAGCTTCTAATGTGGCAAGAAAACCTAAACTATAAAAAGAAAGGGGAGAGAGAGGCCACACTGACTCCATTTTGCCCTGAACACATCCAGTGGACAGTGTTTTGGTAGAAAGTGAAGGCCTTGAAACATTGCCCCTCTCTCCTCCAAGGTAAAAACATGAGGTCCCATAAGGACAAGAAGCAAATATATTATATAACCTAAGCATGTGCATATGAGTTTCTTTGATCTTTATCTCACTAAAACCTGCTTACTTATGCGGACCACGCAGCAGCCATTTTGCTTACCCTCAGTGTGTGAGCCCCTTTACTTTCCCTTTGCCTGCAGAACCCCTACACTCTTTGGGACTCATCACCTTGCCACTTGCTCCAACATCCTTCCATACTCCTTTGATACACCCTAAACAGAAAACCTGCCATGTCTAACTTTTGATATCCCCGCATCACTTCTATTTTGGGCTTCTCTTTTATAGTAATAATAGTTTGTAAATCTATCTCAGAGAGCATTTCAGTATTTATACAACATCAATGATCAGCCCAAGCTTTAAATTATTAATTCATTCCACATTGTTCCATTCCACTCAAACAGATATTACATAAATACGTCCACGGAAATTTCCATGCTCAGGCATTATTCTGCGATGGACTTTGTGCTTAGTAAGCACACTTTACTCTGCCCTTGCTAATAGTTTACATCTGCGCTATATTTTTCAGAAATCGAAATCTATGGCTATTCTCACTTAAACAGTCTGTGGGTAGGGTGTCAACTACATAATTAAGTAAGATAAGAAATTTCTTGCTTTGTATGGTACAGAGGAGTTCACCAGGTGTTTGGCAAGTGTTCCTCCACTGAGGCACCATATTTCTCTGAATTCTTGGGATCTTTGTCAATACCGATCATGAGTTTAGAACTATGAGGTCATGCTGGAAATTTAGGAAATCATTGTAAATATAAAATGCTTGTTTGAGAAGAGCAGGTGTGGCTATGAGGTCGTGGATCACAGACATTTACAAACTTCAGGCTTCTAGATCTGTAGCTGATGGAATGAGAGCAGAGACCTAACTTATTACTGTTGTGGCCTAGCTCTAACCAATGTGCCTCTGTCCTGTTCTGTACGCGGCGTTTTGATGGATTAAATTTCCATTTCCAATAAGGACTTAAGTTTCAGCTCCATGTAAGCCCCCCACCCCCACCCCCTTCCGCATGTTTCTGCAAGGTGTGCTGTTCCTGGGAAAATGTTTAACCGCAGAGACCAATGGAATGTACCAAGAATCCCAGATGTTATCTGAAATAGGTCAACAGCTTTACCCTTTTTAGCTTTAAAAATCCCGCTGTTGGTCTATTAGGCACCCAGTCTTCCGTATTGGCTACTGGAGGCTGCATCACCAGGCCTGGAAATAAAGCCTTGCTCCAAATTTCTTAATTTCTTGCTTCCTTGGACTTTATTCCGGGGTCCGAGCTATCACAATTACAGCTGCACCCAACTCCAAACCACATCGGAGTCAGGGACTCCACACGCCTCTTCCTCTGCCCAGACTGTTGCGGGAGCAAGGGCAGCAAGGGATTTCAAAGGTGGCATTATGTGGGCTGGTGGACAGAGTTCTAGGGACCCAGAACTGTCCCTGCCCCAGAGAGAGATAAACGGGACAGAGGATGACTCACTGCTAGCCCTAGAGAACCTCAGGGTCTGACGATAAGCAAGCAGGCTTTAGACAGGACAGCCACTTCTCACCACTTCTAACTGGTCTCAACCTGATTCCACCCCATTTCACTGCTCCCATCCTATTACCTCACCATTGCGTAGCTCGGAGGTCTCCTAGGTTATTTCTAAGCAGTCCACAGCGAATAGAAGCCACAAAATGCGGTCCAGCAAACGTCTAGCTCTCCCCCGACACACAGTAGACGCCAAGACACAGGAAGAGACCACCTACCTTAGCTCGCCTGATTGGACAGTTCATACAGCCCGCCTCTTCAGCACTGATTGGCTCCTGCTCTCCTATCCTGCTTCCCCACCAAGAATAATTACAGAAGCAAAGGCCGCCTTGTAACTGTGAATCCCCAATGAAAGATTGTGAAGACTTCTGGAGGTGGCTGTCTTCTGCAATGTTGACTTCAGCTCGCCTGACGGATATTTTCACTGAAGGGTTTTACCCCAGCCTTTTTTTCTTTTTCCCCAAATCTATTTTATTTCAAAGATTTAAAAAAAATTGGGGGTGGGGGGAGTCCAGGTTTTTAGCTCGCCGTCATAAGCGCCTGCCTGGCAAGCGCGAGGTAGTATGTTCGATCCCCAATACCAAAAGAAAATAAAACTAAGGAAATTGTAAAATTCTTTTTAAGGAAAGTAGAGAAATAAACAGTTATATACACATGTACACAAGTTTCACTGCAGTACACTGACAGCACTGAACCCAGGAGAGAATGTCACGAGTATGCACATCACCACCTCAATAAGGCCAAAGTGGTTACAGATGCTGGAGGTAAAAAGTGGAAATACTTTAACAACCAAAACAGTTGGAATAAAATATACTGAATATGCATTTAATATACCAAATCTAAACTAGGCCTGGTGGCACATGCATGGAAGCCCAGTATGTGAGAGGCTGAGGCAGGAGAATTGTTTGAGACCACTCTGGCTTATAAAGTGATCTCAAAGCCAGCCTGAACTTCATAGCAAGATGCTGCCTTAAAAAGACAAATATATGAAATCTAATGAACAGAATAGTGTAATAGTGATAGCCTTATTACATTAGCATGACTATCATGCTTATACTGTCTACTAGGAAAACCTAACTTAGAGCCCATTTCATAATATATCATCATTTACTAAATGGAGTGCACTGATATGTACTATTGTTCATTTTTGGTATTTGTTGGTGATGGAGCAGTGCTTGCTCCTGCTCTCCACAGCAGTTAAAAAACTGACTATTGCTGCAGTAAACAGGAACATGCATGAATCACTGCAATAGGTCTTTAACTCTTTGTGGAAAAGACCCACTAAAGGAAGCACTGCACTGATTAAACTTACTGCTTTGAGTCTTTTGAATTCTTTGAACACTAACTTCAGTAGTTGTTGAACTACTTAGTTACATTTTCACCAACAATGTTAAATAGTTCCTTTTCTCCTGCAGTCCCATGAACATTCTTTTAATCTTGTAGTGATTTGTTCTGTCTGCAAGGAGATGGTGTCCCTATTTGTATTTCTCTATTGTGCAAAAATATTCAACAGATCTTCAGGTATATCTTGGCAATTTGTACCTACTCTGAAAAGTGTGTATTCCTTTCACTTTCCTGTTGGTTTTATGTGTCAGCTGTCAGAGAGTAAATTTCTCCCACTCTGTAAGGTATCTCTTTATCCATTTTTGTTTTACATTTTTTTTTTTGCTTCTGTGTTTGTGGAGCAGCATTAAAATCTTATATAATTTTTTTTTGCTGGTTTTGTTACACTACCTTATATTTTACAAAAAACACCAGAAATAGCATTTTTAAAAATCTTCTTAATGCCTCTACATTCAGAACATGGAATGCTTGGCTCATTCATGTTTCACTATGCTTTACTGTAACATAGGCATATTTGAGACTGCTGCACAAACTACATGAAAAATGTATTTCCTGAGCAAAAAAATCATGATTGGCAGTAGTGATTTTTTTTATCCTATCCTACACTTATATTGTTGATCTCAACTTACTTATTTCCTTAAACTTCAAATGCAGGCATAAAAACAACTGCTACACACTCTGCTAAATCATCCAGCTAAGATGCCTCCCGAAGTCAGCTTCAAAGCCATGAGCATCCCAACACATCCTCTCCTGATGCTGGGACTAAAGGAATCACATTTAGCCTAGACTTTATACGTAACTCCTTACCAGTGCAAGTATTTAAATACAAGATGATCAAAATTGCATACTTTTTGTTAGTTTCTATAAAATAAGAAGAAATATAAAACACAATTCCAATGTACTCAATATAACAATCAACTGGTTAAAAATACAACTGCTCCAAAGAGGTTCAGCATAGTCAGTGAATAAACAAATGTGCTTCCTAAGTGATGTGTGGGGATAACTGCCAGGTGGTCAAGTGATAAAGGAGAACTGATATGTACTTGGGAGTATTAAAATAATGTTGACACTGTGGAGGAAAGGAGGAGTACTAAAGCACTAGGCTACATCTACAGAACCTGAAGATATATTTTGAGACATTCTCACACTAAGTTGTGTAGGTTGGACTCAACTTTCTCTTCCACTAATTTATGCCCCCTGAGTTGCTAGGATTACAAGCATGAATCAACTGGACCTCCAAGATTTATTTTCATCATAAAATGAGAAAGAGAATGTACTCACAATATATGTCTTATAGATTCAATATTCTATTAATAGCTGGAATACACACTCCACATCTTCCTGGTGATGTTAAGTAGAAATGTGCTTCAGGAAATCTGGCCACATTCAGAGGTGCATAGAGACTGACAATGTACTTTACAGTGTCTTTTAATTTGTGAAATAAATCAGATACTTCAGATGCAAAATAGACATAGTTTTAGTGGTGATTACACAACAGGTGAGCAATTTATGTGTCCAAGCATAATTGAGCCTAGAGCAAGCTATCTTCACTGGATTAGGGATATTTAACAGTGTTCACTTCTGTTTTCAAGACACCACAGTTTTTAACAACGTAATTCCCACTGGAACCTAAGTAGATTTTGTATTCAGCTACACTGCATTAAGCATGTTAGAAATTACTTGAATTTTAAAATGGAAACTGGAAATCCAACTGGAACTCATGACCGAGTGTATGTGTTTAACGATAATCAGCACACACAACAAACATCAGGCAGTGATCCTTATGAATAGTGAGATACCATTGTATAAATTCAGAAATCAGTAAAACAGAACACAATCTGAATTATATTTTAGTAAGTTTATTTTTTACTGTGCTGACAGCTGAAAACTTAGGTTTCCCTTCAATCCATTAATTCAATGTTTTAGGAAAAAGCAGTAATAATTACAAAATTCACAGCATCAAGGAATAAAATAAAGGGATTTGCATGATACATTAATAGCTAACTTTGGGAACAATTTAATACCACAAACCATGCTGCTCCTCAGATTTTGGGGATCATGGACTGTAAGAGGATGAGTAAATAAAGAAGAGACAAAGCTGGGGTCTGGTGGAGCCCTTATCCTCCTGACGGGAGGAACAGAACTGGTGAAGAAATACAGCATGTTTGTTTATATCCTTGGAAGGTGATAGAATTGGATTCCCAGTCAGGGAACCATATGATAGAATTCTGGCATGGCTGAAAAGATAAGAATTATGAAACATAAATGACTTTAAAGGCTTTACCAGCTACAGTGTACCATCTGAGCCGAAATCCTTTCAGAAGGATAATGTCAATTTCAGCCCTACTACCTAGCAATTCATTGTTTGGATTGTCTAGGGGCTTGGTATTTTCCTTGGCTGTAGCATCTTCTTCATGCAGCTGGTCATGCATTCTTTGTTTTGGGGATGCATGTAGCTGTCATGCCTAAGCTCTGCATGTATGTTCAATTTCAAGGTTCAATAGCTCCCAACATTTAGATAGAAACCTTGCCAAAGTATGGAAACAGTTGTCTCTATATCTGCATTTAAAGTTTAAGGAAAGAAACAAGTTGAAGTCAAGAATGTAAATGTAGGATAGAATTCAAAGGTCATTACTGAAAATCACTATGATCTTTTTCAGGAAACATACTTCTTATGATAATATTTGTGCTGCAGTCACATATATGCCTCTATCACTATAAACCATAAATAATGAAACATGAAGTGGCCAGGCATCCCATGTTCTGACTGTAGACATGCAAAAAAAATTCTTGATACTGTTGCTGGTGTTTTGTGAAGAAAATGACATAGAGGGCTGGGGATTTAGCTCAGCAGCATAAACACATGTCTGGCAAGAGCAAGGTCATGAGTTTGATCCCCAGTACTGCAAAAAAAGAGAGAGAAAGGAAGAAAAAAGAAAAACAAAATTAGATAGAATGTGCAACAGACCAAAACATTTATAAAAAGTTTTAAAACTTCTACACAAACATGGAAGCAACAGAAACACAAAGAAGCACGAGGAAATAACCTCCAAAATGAGAGAAAAATAATTTGGTTGAAACTCCTCAAGACCAAACATATTAAAAAACAAACAAACAAGACAATGAAAGGTACACACAATTCTCAGAATTAACACAAATTGCCAGTAAATGCCAAAAAATTGTTGTGCATTTTTGTCCAATACAGAAATGAAAATCAGAACCTCATCTCCTTCCTGACAAAACACATCAGCATGAACTCAAAGCAGTACTCATGAGGCTGCAGGGGAAAAGGAACCGTTCAACATCATTTGTGGGAATGGTAGTAGTTCAACCATTAGCGAAGTCAAAGTGCAAAATATGACACTATGAGGAGTAATTCCATTCTGTGTAATACATTTGTTTGTCATTATCTTCCACAAAGTTCTAACATATGTTTCAGTGACCCAGGCACATTCCTATTTACTGTCTCAATATTCATGTTTCTTGGGGCAGCAGCAGTGAGCGCTATGGTCAGCCACCAGATACAAATGATGATAAATGTTCTTCATTGCACTCCATTTAGTAAGTTATGTGATGGCCTACTATGAATGGGCTCAGCATTAGATGTTTTTGTAGTAGGGTTGCCATAACCATAATCAATATGTGAATGTGGAGCGGGCATCCCTGTTCATTAGATTGGGGATAGTAAATGCACATTAATTACATTGTATTTCAATTATTTTGGTTGCTGAAACATTGCCATTTTGTACCTCAAGGAACATATGTAAGCACTTCAGATTTATTGACTTGGTGATGCGCTTACCACCAACCTCCTTACATTCTCTCCTGAGTTCCGTGCTGTTACTGAGGGTACT